TCAATCATTGGCTGGAGGATAAGTTCAAATTACAATAGAAATCAGGATAATTCGGTTCGGACAAAAACCAATGTTAAAATATTTGCCGCAAACTTGCAAGCTAAGTGTGACGCAAATATTCAATATAGTCCATGTTTAGTTTGTAAAGGCAAGCATTCAATTTTTAAATGTAGCGTTTTTAAAGAAAAAACTCCAACACAGCGTGCTAAAATAAGCTTTGCTTTTCTTGTTTTCAAGGAAATTGCATGTTTAGGTAATGTCCCAAGCCCAAAACTTGTCCTAAACCACAGGCCAAGAGCACTCATAATGTGTTACTGCACGGCGCAGAACGCGTTTGCCCTACAAATAACCAATCTGGTTATGCACCGCACACAACTGCAGCCAATCCCGCAGTTCAAACTCCATTTAGACCCACGACGCAAAACAATACTTGTGGGACATCCCTTATGAATCTAAAAGGACTGATGCCACTTATAAATCTCACATTATCATCAAATGACTCTGAAACCACCGCACTTGTGTTATGTGACACAGCTTGCAGTCACTCTTGTATTTCACCTGAACTCGCTCGCAGACTCAATCTGACAGGTAGGAAAATTGATTTGACTGTCAATGGCGCCAATTGTTCCGAAGATATTACTTCAGAACAATTTGATTTGAACGTTTCTTCTGAATTTGATCCAGATATTTCGTTCACCGTTTGTGCATATGTAAAAAACAACATTAACATAGGTTCAGATATAATTAACGTTCGTAGGTTGCAAGAGAAATACACTCACTTGGAACCAATTGATTCAGTCGAATTTTGGTACGCTGATGTCGAAATGATTTTAGGTCAAGATGTTTATGAGTACATTTGTCCTCTGGAATACTGCCAGGATAAACGCCAAAAATCACCTTTCGCCGTTCGCCTCCCAATTGGATGGGTCTTAAATGGTCCACTCCCTGCCTCCACCGGCCTGATCTCAACATGCTTGCATTGTAACATCGAAGATGTAAGTTTGGTAGAGCAGGTCAAATCTTGGTACGAACTTGAATCATACGGTACGTATAAACAAGTAGATGCCCGATCGTCAGACGATAAAAGGGCGAATAAAATTTTAGAAGCATCAACTATACATGATGGTGATAGATACGCCGTTGGGATGCTTTGGGCCGAAGACCACTCACAGTTGCCCAACAACTACTACTCCGCCTTAGCACAACTTAAATCTCTGGAAAAACGTTTAGACAAAGACACAAACCTCAGGGCTTTATACGCAAAAAACATTCAAGAAGATTTTGACAAAGGTTACGTCATCAAAGTGAATACACATGACTGCACAAATCGTTCCGCTAGGGAATGGTATCTTCCTCATCACCCCGTGATTAATCCAAATAAACCCGGAAAAGTCCGCCGCGTCCTAAATGGTGCAGCCAAATTTCATGGATCGTCACTTAATAAAGCTCTTTTGGTTGGCCCAGATTTGCTTCAGAATCTGCTGGCCGTCCTAATGAGATTACGTCAACATCAACATGCAGTATCAGCTGATATTGAAGGCATGTTCCTTCAGGTTGGTGTTCTCCCAATCGACCAACTGTCACTTCGTTTTCTGTGGCGGGAGGATCCCACAACCGATGAGGTAACGTATCAATACACGCGACACATTTTCGGAGCTCGTGACTCGCCCACATGTGCTAATTTTGCTCTTCAAAAGACAGCTCGCGACAATCAAGTCTTGTTCCCCGACGCAGCGTCAGCCGTGATGCAAAAATTCTATATGGACGATTATCTTGATTCGTTTCCCGAACCTGAACAGGCATTAAAATTAAGTAAGGACCTTGTAGAACTACTTAAGTTTGGAGGATTTAAGTTGACAAAATTCGTGAGAAATATCAAAGAGATTCAGAAAGAGTTATGTAAGTCAAGCGACAATTTAAGTCAAGTTAAGGAGATTCTAAGTAGTGAAGGTCAAGAATCGCATGTTCTAGGTTTTAAATGGGATCACGTTCTCGATACATTGGTAGTTAGTCGAGGTGTAAACAGAGAACTGAAGGATACTGTTACCCAACGTACAGTTCTAAGTTTTGTCTCTTCAGTTTTCGACCCTATTGGGTTAGTCGCTCCGTACACTGTCAGAGCCCGACTACTTCTTAAAGAGATTTGGAGAATCAGTGGTCAACAATGGGATAACCCACTTCCTTTGGACTTGAATGCCAAATTCCTCGAATGGCGGTCTGGTCTACCCATCCTGGGTCAACTGATCATACCGAGATGCTACTTTCCATCCGCAGTTGACAAAATTGAACTCCATATCTTTGGTGACAGTTCACAGGAAATCTTCTGTGCAGTTGGATTTCTCCGTGCGCGCATTATTGATACACATGAGACAAAACTCGCCTTCATTTTGGGTAAAGCCCGCGTAGCACCAATGAAGGCTATTTCCATCCCAAAATTAGAGCTGCAAGCTTCTTTGCTTGCTACACGCCTCAAAATAGATATCATGAAAGCACTTTCGATCCCTATAAATGATGTCTTTATGTGGACTGACAGTACCACTGTGCTACAATGGCTCCATTCGACTGCAAAGCAGCCAGTATTCGTCGCTAATCGAGTAGGCGAAATACTGGAAGTTACCACTGTCGACGAATGGTATCACGTAGATACTGAAAACAACCCAGCTGATACTGGTACTCGAGGTATTGCCGCTGAAGCCTTGAAGGACAGCAGCTGGACTCAAGGTCCCAGCTTCTTCAGAACCAGTGATTGGCCCTTTCGACCAAATGTCGATGTGATTACAAAAACAAAATTAAAAGGTCCTATCGATGATGTCATCGATACTGCCACTATTTTTGTAATCAATCCGTCAGTCCCTGAACCCGTCATTAAGTGGAATCGTTACAGCTCGTTTCCCAAATTATTGCGCGTAGTAGCATTCATCCTCCGATTAAATCCTAAATTTATTCATTTCCGTGGAACAATCACTAATATCGTTAAACCGTCTGAGATAGATACTTCTCAACGAATGTTGTTTCTTCTTTCTCAAAAAGAAGCGTTACCCTCAGAGTTCAAATTATTGAGTTCTGAGAAATATGTTAAGAATGTAAGCCCTATTGCAACTCTCTCCCTATTCATTGACCCCGATGGACTTCTTAGATCCATAGGACGCATTAGTCGTCTCTCTGAACTCGAATTTAAAAATAAATATCCCATCATACTTGATGGCCGTCATCCATTAGTCAAATTGTTTGTGGCTCATCAACACAACAAACATGAGCATCAGTCAAATGACTACCTACGATCTGTCATCCAGATAGAAAATGCAATCTTAAAATTAAGATCATTGCTCGGTAACATTGAACTTAATTGTAAAAACTGCCGAAAGCGAAAGTTGAAAACCATCACCCCTTTCATGTCTGATCTGCCAATTGAGCGTCTTCGATACCGCCAAGCGCCCTTCAACAATTGCGGAGTCGATTACTTCGGACCCTTTCACGTAACAATCCGTAGGAGTTCGGAGAAACGTTGGGCATTTTTGTTCACTTGTTTGACAACTAGAGCCATCCATATTGAAGTCATACCATCAATGGATTCAAGCTCCTGTGTCATGGGAGTAGAACGATTCATCGCTAGACGAGGAAGTCCATCGAAAATTTGGTCCGATAATGGTACAAACTTTGTCGGTGCAGAGAAAGAGCTTCTTCTGTGTACTCGAGCATGGAATGATCTTGCGCCCGCTCTCCTTGTCCACAAAGGCATCGAATGGAAGTATAACCCACCATCTTCACCACATCATGGTGGCTCTTGGGAACGTCTTGTACGTAGTTGCAAGAGAGTTTTCTACTCCATCCTCACACCCCGTAAATTAACCGACGAAGTACTCCAGACCACATTTTGTCTGGTGGAACAGTCCCTCAATGCGCGTCCACTTACAGCGGTAAGCAGTGACCCGAATGAGATTGAGGCTTTAACGCAAAATCACTTCTTGATAGGCCAGCGCTCAGTTAGTTTCCCGTCGATTGCGACGGACGAACATTTCGATCATCGAAAGCGTTATCTTCGCGCACAAGGATACGCTAACACCATCTGGACTAGATGGCTACGCGAGTACGTTCCGACTCTCAACAAACGCCGTAAATGGCACACACCTACCGAACAAGAACTCAAAGCCGGAGATCTTGTTTGGATCGTCGAGGATAGTAGCCCGCGTGGTTACTACCCTCTCGCTCGCGTCAAAACGCTTAACTATGGCAAAGACGCTACCGCCCGTTCCGCACTCCTTAAAACCGCAACAGGAGATTTAACCCGACCTCTTGTTAAACTCGCTACAGTTATCGCTCCGTTGGGGCCCGAGGACGTTCAAGATTGAAACTAAAATGAAAGCATATCAAGACCAGCTAGTTTAGCGGCAACGTACTTGACCTGAAACCGAAAGGTCGCCGGTTCGAATCCCGGTCATTCCAAGTATTTTACTACTAAAAAACTTGGTATACACTTGATTTGAACCGCATAAAAAATGTTCCTAAGTCAAACTTGTTTTTAAATGATGTTCTGGACATGAACTTAATTAGACTTTGGCCAGATTGACTTCTAACTTCTGGCAAGCGTGAAAATCCCCACTTATTGGCAAAAGTAGTGACAATAAAGTCGCTTTCGATTTCGATTTCGTTTAAAACTTGATAATTTTGTTCCGAAACAGATATTATTCCGCTGTTTCCTCTTAATGATTTTCGATAATTATTGAAGGAAAAATATATATATATATTGAACAATCGTGTTCTCAATCGAGATACATACAGCCAATCTACAGACCGACGATATACTCGACCGACCCACCACAGACCGAACACAGGTGGAAACATGACCAAAGCAATGAAAATGCTTTCAATTAATTATGAGGGGTTTCGTAACCTTCGCTTTGAGCGAAGCAGTACTTCATGATTTGTCTAGATAAGTTCTTTTTGATATATATCTTTTAAATAAGTTCTCTAAATAAGTTCTGTTACAAAATCTTTCTAACTTGTGATGTCGACGACACCTCCGAAGTTGTTCGGACACCCGAGGAGGTCGAATCGGAATGCGAGGATATTCTGGACACCTAGAGAGTCCTGCGGGTCCTCGGAGGCGGAAGTGAACACCAGTCGGACCCATGAGGCATCTAATGGTTGTCGGATGTCCAAGTAGCGCAACAGGGAGTTGTCAATGTCCTCGAAGCTCTGATTGGAGTAAAACTAGAAAAAAAGCATATAACTTGAGCACCAGCGGATTTAAGGGGGAAGGGGGCGGACGCTTCTGCCGACCCAAAAAGTACCGCCTTTGTACACTTTTAAGATATCTATTTTTGGCTGAATAACCATAAAATTGCGCTTTTGGCCAGTAAAGCAATTTTTTGGTAAAATTTTTTTAAAAAGTGCATAAAAACGGTTTTTTTGGCCTGTTTTTTTTTAAAATTTGCCTGCGGCGCAGAACATTTGGTCAAAATGGGGTCTTTATACTTGTTTGGGAGAGCTCAGCAAATCAATTTGGTCGACATAAAAAAAGGTCGACGAAATTTTTGAAAATTTTTTCAAAATCCAAAACCACCCCCCCCCCCCCCCTGGAGAAAATCTTAGATCCGCACCTGAGCTTGAGTGCACTAAAAAATTTGTCGACTTTTTTTGAGTTCGATCAAAATGATTTTCTTAGCACTCCCAAGACAGTATAAACACCCTACTTTGACCTTTTGGGCCGTTTTTGGGAACTTTTTAGAAACTTTTGACCAAAAAAATCGTGTTTTTTTTGGAGAGCGTTCCCTTTCAAAAGTAGTATATATTGGCGCCGAAGGTGCCGACGGAAAAAATTTAAGGATGGTCGTACCAAATGGATGTCATAAAAAATACCAAAGGGGGGACTTTTTGGTTGTTGAGGGGGTCGAATCCCTGAGGAAGGAACGTACGTCCCATCCCCCCCTAAATCCGCCCCTGGTTATAACCACCAGCCGATTTAGGGGTAAGGGTACCACGGATTTTTAATTTTTTCTATATGCGCCTGCATATACTATTCTAAAGAGGCGGATATATAGTAAATTTGAGGGAGAGGCGCGCTTAGAAAAAAGGCAATTTGTTGGTCAAAGTTTTCCAAAAAGTATCCAAAACGCCTTTTTTGCCCCTGTTTTTCTTGCGGCGCAAAAACTTTGGTCAAAATAAGGTCTTCATAGTGATTTGTGAGAGCTTGGAAAATCAATTTGGTCGACCCAAAAAAGGTCGATAAAATTGAAATTTCGATTTTTTATGAAAATCCAACCAAGAAACAATCCTAGATCTGATCTGGTTATAACAATGAATTAAAAAGTTAGGTTACTAAATGCAGCATAGTTAGAGCAGATTGAAGACTTTCCTTTAAAATAACTTAAGATCAAATTTCAGTCGGAGATGTGCTTTTTCAATTTTTTGACAATTATTTCGATGCAAAAACAGAAACAAAAGAGCAAAAATTTAATGTCCAATAAAGCAAAAATTTAATATCCAATGAAGTATTCAAGTTTTGTTCTGCAAACCTCTTCGCTATAGATCCGTACCTGGTTCGGATCTGCTAAGCAACCCCCCCCCCCCCCTACTTTGTTATGAAATCAAAAAATCCCTTATCAATTAAAAAAAGACAGCTCGTGTCAGAGCAAAGCCCTGAATGTTCTGACTACCCTTAAAAGCCTATCGGGCAGTGTTCGCTTTATAAAACTAAAATCTCAAAATTTTTTTAAAAAAAATACCCACAAACGCTATCTAAAGTAAAAAAGGATACATTTAGCATACTATGAAGTATTGAATAGGTCAAAAAGCATGCCATCAATTCAGTTCGAGACGATTGCTAAGACTGATTAAATCTCCGCTTACGCGTTAATAACACTAGGTATATCGCGTATTATTTGTCCCAAAATGGCCGAATTGCCCATTTTTAAACCACAACAACTGTAACCCGAAAATTGATCACAGATAAAAAAAGTTTTTAAAGGTTCAGTTCTGAACAGTGGCGTGCGCAGAAAATTTTTTAGGGGGGAATTCGAAAAAAATGAAATGTTTGTCGATTTTTTAGTTCTCCGAAAACCCTATAAGGACCCAATTTGTCAAAAATTTTCTGGGCCGCAGGGTAATTTTTGAAAATAAAAACAGGCTAAAAATGACGTTTTGACCACTTTTAAAATATATTTGATAATTGAGTTAAAAAAATGCGCGCGTTTCCCCGTCAAATTTACTTACATTGGTGCCAAAGGCGACTTTAGAAACTTTTGATGTTGGCCAGAAATTTTTTGATAATCTCGTAAAAATATTTCAAAACAAAAATACCTTATTTTACCCTTTGGAAAAATTTGGGAACTTGATTTAAGAAGGGAATTGCGGCCCCCCCTCGGCACGCTACTGCTTCAGGACAACAAATTTCCGTCAAAAACGGCTAGTTAAAAAATTTAAATTTGTTTGTATAAAAAACTACCCCGAGCACAAATATTCCGTCACTTTCTTCGAAAGTCGCAACAACAAGTATTTTTGTCGTTCAACCAAGGCTTTCTAGTTATTGAGAATTCTAACTTTCCTGCATTCTTATTGGATGCAGGAAAGTTAACCCATTGATGATCTCCCAATGAAGATATCGACTTCTTGAGATCAAATTTAAAATGATATTTAAGCTCCAATTTTTTAATAAAGTTCTGAGGGTTTGAAAATTGGCAATTTGGCTATGTTCTGGACTAAAATATGCGCGCGTTTTCATTTTGCCGAGAGCACAACGCAAATTATTAATGCTTGGAGAATTATCCCGCATGAACAAATCATTCGAAATTGAATTGGGGCTAGCTAATTGGATCGGTCGTATTAATTTCGTATGACTCAACATTTCACACTTTGATATTGTCCAATCTTTATAGGTTTTCAATTTTTTGTTTTCCCAAAAATTATTCGATATGAATTAAGAGACAGTCCGAGCACGCAGGGCTTTGTCATGATATACGAGCAGTCTTGTTTTAATAAACCATCTTCTTCAGAATCTCCTCACACTTTTAATAAATAGAATTGTGAAGTAGATCTCCGTTCTAAGTATACCTGTCGAACAGTACTCTGTTCCTCGTACTGTGTCCAGTATATGCCCTCTGGATCATTGCTGTAGTGCAACTCAAAGGATCCGAACGAGGAGTCTTTGTGGAATACCACTTTGGATATCTTGTAGCTCCTCAAGAGTGCCAGTTTGATGTACTGGCGCGACTGCCACTGACCTTGCCATGAATTTGAACGCCATCCTAAGAATACATTCAAAGCTTGTTTCAGAGCTTGTCAAGAAAAAAATTTAAAAATTTAAATGGAAGTGAAACCTAGCTTTTAGAGCTTTGCCTTGTTTTTTTATCGACTCAAGTCTCTAAATTTTCGAAAAGAACAAAGCTTACATTATTACAAAAAATAGGTATTCAGGATGAATATGAAAAATTATAACTAAGAGTTGAATTGACACGCACTCAAAAAGACAATATATTTTTTCGCTCGTTCGCCTCCACAAATTGCTCACATCGCGTTTCCAAGTACGATTAAGCTGACTAAATAATTTTAGTCAAATCATTTGGTTTTGTGTATCAATTTCTCAAGCATTTTTGTGTAAAAACCGTTTAAAATGGTAAGCCTATGAGCTGCGGAAGTTGAAAATGATTCAAATTATCTATGGAGTTTCATCTTACCCTGAGACAGTTGTGCACTGAGTCCTCTGTGGACCGAGTATTCCAACGGGTCCAGTTCTGAACTGGATGTGATCTGGCACTCCTGGAATAGAGTAGTATCCGATATGGGCACGCGGGATCCAGCACAACTGTCATCTAAACACACCACCAGATACATATCTTGAAGTGAAGTTATGCAGGCACTAACGAACCGGATAGTTTTCTCGGTAGCAAATAAGACATCAGACTTTTTTGATCATCTGTTAGAAAACTTAAAACTTTTGAAAAATATGGACGTTTTGTTTCACGCTAATTGACTATATTTTCCTAAAAAGACAAGTATTCCCTAGTTACCTTTCTAAGCAAGTCCATCGTTGGAACCAGACTTAGAGCCAAGCCTGGTCAGAAAAAAAAACATTTTCTAAGTCTTGCAGGTGTTGCCGTGGACTTCTTGGATTGGTCTAAGAGACCATTTCGACCCGGACTTGCGTGTGTTTTTTAGCGAAAGTTAAAATATGTGATGATGTCTGCTAACTGGTGACTAGGAATCTGGCCTCTGCTGATGTGCTCTTCTGCTGGTAAACCTGGTCAGCATCATCTTCATCCCCCTCTCTGGCATTCCTGGTGTAGTGGATGTCAACTGGACAGGTGGCGAAGTAGTCTCTGCTCTCCCTCACTGCCAAGGAAGCAGATGTGACCTCAATGTCAAATCGGAACTCAGTGTATTCGCTCGTGCCCAGTTTGTCCAACTGCAACACACAAAATCGATTGAAAAAGATAATCCAATCAATGGTAGCCGGTTTCTGTGCCGGTTTCTGTGCCGGTACAAAATGTTTCACCACAGTCAAATTTAAAGAAAAGAAAACTTTTTTTGCTGTCATATTTGCAAAAAAAATGAAATAAATGTTGTTGTTTTCTATAGAAATTGACAATAAAGCGGCGAGGAGAAGGGAAATTAAGGGAATTCGGTTTGGGGCAAATCTAGCGCTTGGAAAGAATCATTTTAAGCTAAAATAAAGCTTTTTCCAGATAATCTTTACAGTGAAGAGTTACGCTGAATGTAATCTAAGCCATGAATTTCTGATCCTCGCTTTCGTTGCACTAGCAGTACTGCGCATGCAGTAACCGTGATGCTGTTTATTTTATTGAATGTTATGTAATGTATTATATAATCAAGTCAAGGTCAATTGAGACCTAACCTTGCAGCCACGTACAGATGGCAGAGTTTCTGTTATGCAGAGCGTAACTCAGTAGTTATCTCTCGTAGATAAAAGACATTATCGCTAACGAACTTTAAATTCAACATTCAGTAAAATTCTCTCTACCAAGAACTCAGAGTTCCTTAGAGCTTCACATGGCGCAACCAGCAGAGTTCCTAACCCAGGACAATCGAACCGATATGGGATTACCAGTTTTTTGGACTTTGGACTGCAGCGAATTCAGAGCGGCTTGGCAAATTAATATTATGCTGGAACAAATTTTGACGGCGGTAACAGTTGTAGAAAATGTCAAAATGAATTACTACTCAAAGATCTAAAAAGATGTGGTGGAAGAACATGCAGTAGACAAGAATCACCGAGAACAGGAGAAGATGCAACTGCAATAGCAGCAAGAGAACGGCGAAACAGACTTGCGGAAGAAAAACACTTTCAAGAAAATGAGGAAAAACAAGCCAGAGGCCCGAAGGTTGGCAATTATGTCTACTATTTCGAGGTGCAAAAACGATTAGACTCGCGTCTTCTCCTGGCACTAGGAACAGAAGGAAAAAAGATTTATGCAAAAGAATCCGCATGTTGAAATATCGAAACTGGCATTCAAAAATATTATCGAAATGGTAAAATTCGCATTCCAAAAAGTGAAGAGTGTTACATACGAAAGAAGTAAATTAATCAGCAGAGCCCAACAATCAGGAGAAACGTTAGATGCGTTTCACGCGGCATTAACTGCACAAGCAGCCAGGTCAGAATTAGGAACGTTGGGGGGTCAACTGGTAAGAGATTTTTTCATTTCAAGAAAGAAAAATGCCAGTCTGCAAGATATATTAACGGTGGAGACACTGTCACCAGAAGTAATTAAAAGAGCAATACTCTTTGAATACAGTAACCAAACAAACTCAGAGTTGCAAAAGACTAACTCCTTGATTACTCCTTCCTCATCGCCACTAAACAACACAGCACAGAACAAACACATCACGGAAAAGCCACAAAAAGTAGCAGCAAGGAGCCCAAAAGCAAGCGCTCCAGGGTGGAAGTTGCGGAGGACAGTGGCGAAGAAGACGAAAAAAGCGAACAGATGCACTCACAAAGAAAAGTCGGATCGCCAGAAATAGGATCCTCCCAGGATAACCCAACGTAGGTCACATCGAAGGAGGCGAGTTCCGGAGAGGCTTGAATTTAGCCATGAAACGTGCAAAACTAAACAATGGGGGCAAGAGTCTCAAACTCCCGAAACACAGGAGCAAGTCGCATTGAAAGAGACAGCGAAAAAGGTGTTGGCACAAGAAGTAAGACGTAGCAAAGCTGCACAAGCAGCCCAAAAAAAAGCAATGGCACAGGATGAGGATACGACAGAGACGATGACTCGAGTACCCAAAGCGGTACCTCAAAACGAACAAACGGGAACAGGGAGAGGGGACCAGCAGTTCAACCCCCCAAAAAAACGAAAAAGAGTAAGAAAAAATTAAAGAGAATCGACTCAAAGTCGCGACCAGAGGACATCCCGGATATTTTCCAGACAACAACTTAGCCCAAGAAGAATGTGAGACGTTGGCAGACCAAGTTCTGCAGAGAGGAGTACAGAAGGTGGCAGCTGAGGTAGGTTTAAGGAGAAACTCAATTGAAAGAGGGGACGAGAAATTTGACCCGCCACCGGGATGCTCAGATGAATCAAGCCAGGAGGAGAGCAATGATCGAAGGAATGCACGCCCTACAAAGAACAAGGAACCATCACGATTCGGGGACCCAATCAAATACTCAGTGAAAGAAGTGTCCACAGACTCGGAGGTAAAGGAAACACACGGACGCCGTCTCAAAGAAACCCTGACGAATTATCCTATGAAATAAGTTAATTTTAAACACAGAGAGGACCGACCATATGACTCAAGGCTAACACTATTAGAACGGCACCTCTTCAGAAGGAAGTATGTTTACTGAACATTAGACCCAGACGTAGTCTTGAAACCAAGCTGGCAGATATAAATTGAGATGAATTAAGCGACCAGCTAAACGAACATAAACAGAAGCACAAACTGAGATTACAACTCCTATTACTACTTACTAAATTTTATCTATTATTGAAGCTAAAATTTTCCTGTGATCTGGGAAGTGTGGTACTGCGCATGCAGTAACCTTGATGCTATTTATATTATTAAATGTTAATTTAGGTACTAAATATTCATGTCAAGGTCAATTGAGACCTAACCTTGCAGGATGGCCGAGTTTTTGTTATGCAGAGCGTAACTCAGCAGTTATCTCTCAAAGATAAAAAGACATTATCGTCAACGAACTTTAGTTTCAATTTTTAGTAAAATTGTCTTTACCATTTTTCCCACTCAGCTCGAATTACAAATGAAATGGTTTGAATATGGTATATCAATCGACAACAACTGAAGTGATTTGTGGCTAATTTGAAATATTTGCTTTTTAAATGTTATCTCGAATTATTGATTACAAATTGGAAAAGTTTAGAAACTTAAATTTCGGTTAAAATATTTGAAGTGTGTACGAGCAAAAAAAAACGTGCAGTTGTTCAATTTTAAAGGTTTATTTTGCCGAAGAGTTCATGTATTTGCATGGCAGAGAGCGAAAATCGATAAAAAACAGGTGTTGTTTCGGAGCCATTTCATTGTTCTGAAAATTTAAAAGGTGTCCGTGTACAAAATAGACTAAGCTATCCCCTAGCTATTTTAAGGATAATAATTTAATCTTACGTCATTAGAAACGAAAAATTTATTTTTCCGAATCGATATTCTTGTTCTTTGCCAAAATATAGCAGCTAAACTTTGAGGCATCCAGATAGTTGAGGCCGAAAAAGCGCAAAAAAAGATTTTTGGTCGCGATTGAGGCTGATTTTTTTTTTCAGACTATCGCGATCCAAGCAGAGCGGCTCAATTTTCATGGAAAAAAAAGTCAGCAGTTTCAGCGCTCAAACACAAAAAGTCAACAAATTTTTGACCGAAGGAAAGGTGACAACTAATTTTTATCACAGTTAAGTGTCCACCACTGGCGCAACTTTTTGTATGATTTAGTAAATAAAATTTTGAATAAACTATTTCTCAGTTTGTCCGTTTTTTTTTTCAATTTTTTTAATTTAATTTTTGAACAGCACAATTTTTTTTTCAGTCAAAAACCAAACTTTTGTACCCTTGAATATCAATTGTTGCCAGATTTTTTTCATTTTTCTTATAAAAGGTCTGTGAGTATTGCCCATATTCTAGTGATTTTAAACCCAGTATTTGTGCCTAACTTCCAAAAAATGTATGTCAAACCAAATTTAGGAATTTTGCGACTATTTGTGCTCCACTGTTTGCAGTAATAGGGTCCCGAAGTTTGCAGTTTGCAACTCTACTGTGGACTTCTGATGCAATTATTGTAATTTTCTTGCAAGAAGTTGCACTTCTCTGAAATATATCTTAAAATGCTATAATTTTTTGCTTTTTTGAATGCAATTTCTCAAAAATCGTTTGTGTTTTTACGCGGTCGTCAGATTTCAAATTTATCTCATTTCGTGAGAGTAACACATTTCAGCAATCTCCAGTGCCCGTTTCTGCTGAACTTTTGTTATATACTAGGAAAAGTAGAAAAAAAAACTGTTTGAACGATTGAAAAAAAAAGAAACATTAGAATGCAAAATCTTATTTAATTATTGCGAAAGAGTGAAAATTTAACAAACTTCAAAACTAAATAAATGATTTCCGCGCGCATTTTTTTAGATTTACGCATTATTTTGCATTCCTATATCACAAAGGTTAGTTCCAAACATTTGCGAATCACTTCGATATATAAGAGATATTAAAATATATTAACTTTGATATATTAAGATTCTTCTTACGACTGTAAAACCTGCTAGATGTTTTGGATTTTTCAGAGCGAATGCGGAGCGAATTTCAAGTATTGGCCTTCAATTGCAAATCTTGACCCATTAAAAAAGAAAACGATTCAAGAAATGAAGAGAAAAGTACTAGGGAAAGGTCTTCTTAAAATTCAATTGTAACCTACGCACGACACATGACCGCAATAAATATGGGTTCAATTTTTCCCTCGAGCAGCTCCAAAATTTTTTATTGAAAGTAAATACCGTCCGCCGTCTGCCGATCTTATAATTTGCCATTATGCTAAGGTAAACTTCACTGTGCGCTTGAAGTTCCTCATTGAAAAAAGCGATAAGAATCATTAAGAACGAAAAATCAGCTTGGCTCAACAACAAAATAAGTAACTAAGTGGTAAGAAAAAACCAAAAAATTCAGATTGGCTTGAATCTGATAGATTTAGTTCGTTTTTTTGCCTCAATTGAAAAAATTGTTGAGACGTCGCATAATATATATAAAATTTTAATATTCTTGTTAAATCAATCTTCGTTGATTTTTTGTTCTCGTTGCGTAATGATTCTTATTGCTCTTTTCAATGAGGAGCTTCCAGCGCACAGTGAAGTTTACCTTAGCGTTATGGCAAATTATAAGGTCGGCAGACGGAAATTCTTTTTTTTGAAAATTTTGGAGCCGCACGAGGGAAAAATGTTCTCCGCGTTTATT